AAACTGGCCCGGCCCGCCAGGGTGCTTACCCTGGCAAGCCGCGTGCCAAACGTAGCCGACCCCTGTGTTACACATACTCACCAGTGGGTTACAGATATGGCTGGTCAAACATTTTCAATTGAAATTGAAATCCAGATTTGTTTGAATCTGTACTACCCTCTAAATAACTAGCAGCCTACTGCAGACTGAGGAGAACAGATCAAGTTTGATCTAAAACATGAAACTCATAAGAACAGCTATATTGGGTCAGACTAATGGTCCATCTAGCCCAGTATTCTGTCTTTAGACTGTGGCCAGTGCCAGATGCTTCAGAGGGAATTAACAGAACAGGGTAATTTAATTCCTGTTATCCAGTCCTAGCCTCTAGCTGTCACAGGTTTAGGGACACTCAGAGCATTGGGTTGCTTCTCTAACCATCTTGACTAATAGCCATTGATGGACCTATCCACCATGAATTTATCTAATTCTTTTTTTAACCCAGTTATACTTTTGGCCTTCACAACATCCTTTGGCAATGAGTTCCACAGGTTGGCTATGGGTTGTGTGAAGAAGTACTTCTGTATATTTGCCAGCCTATTAATTTCATCAGGTGACCCCTGGTTCTTGTGTTATGTTAAAGGATAAATAACACTCCCATATTCACTTTCTCCACACCATTCATGATTTTATAGACCTCTGTCATATCCCCTTTAGTCATCTCTTTTCTAACATGAACAGTCCCTGTCTTATTTTTAGCTGTGTTGTATATAGGACTAGCTTATTGACCTAAAGGTAAGTACTGTGCCAAAATATGCTTTAATTCCTGAAGCCAAGAGTGCTCCCATCAAGAGTGTCTTTCTGCATCTCTGGAGGGAAGGTGGAGTCTTGTGTCCTTCAATAGCAAGACCTACTAACTGATTAGGAATGACACTGGCAAAGTTTTGAGGAGTCCAATTCAGCATTCCTGGGCAGAAGATGTTTAGCTGAGACAAATCTTGTATTTGGTAAGGGAGTTTATATAAGGAGAAAACAAGAGGTTAGGGTGCAAGTTCTACCCAGACTCTGTAGTGTTTCCCAGTCACTGGATATTATGACTTAATTAAGTTACTTCTAACCCAGAGTCTCTTTTGAAGGCTGTGCTGGGATGGGGAAGTGTAGAGTGCTAGAAGGGTATGAGTTAGTGCTGGGGCGAAAAGAAGGATTGAAACTCAAAGTGATTGACTGAAATGTGGGTCTACATTTGTAGGTGTTCCAGTTGAAACTGTAAAGGAATCTCTTGGTGAAGAGCTATTCAAAATATGTTATGAAGAGGATGAACACATCTTAGGAGTTGTTGGAGGAACCCTTAAGGACTTCTTGAACAGTTTCAATACTCTTCTGAAGCAGAGTGGCCATTGCCAAGAAGCAGACAAAAAGAGCAAACTTGAGGAAGCCTCCATATTATGCCTGGAAAAAGATCAAGATTTCTTAAACGTGTACTGTTTCTTTCCTAAGAAAATAACTAGTCTCATTCTGCCTGGCATTATTAAGGCAGCAGCTCATATTTTGTATGAAACCGAAGTGGAAGTGATGCTGATGCCCCCCTGCTTTCGTAATGACTGCACAGAGTTTATTAACCAGCCATATTTGTTGTACTCTGTACTAGTCAAAAGCACAAGACCTTCCTTATCTCCATGTAAACCACAGTCCTCTCTTGTGATTTCCGCCTCTCTGTTCTGTAAAACTTTCCCATTTCATTTCATGTTTGACAAGGATATGGCTGTTCTACAAGTTGGCAATGGGATAAGGAGACTTTTGAACAGGAGAGAATTTCTAGCAAATCCTAACTTTGAGGAGTATTTTGAAATTCTTACCCCTAGAATAAACTGCACATTTAGTGGGATCATGACAATGCTCAATATGCAGTTTACCGTACGAGTGAAGAGATGGGACAATGCTGTTAAGAAGTCATCAAGGGTAAGAACCGATGCATAAGCATTATTTCTGTGAAGCATTTATTTGCTTTTCTTTTCTTTATTGGAGGTAGGGTTATAAATCAATAGCCACTATAAAGAAGGCACAGTCTGTAATCTTAGATTTTCTGCCTCCCAATAGCTAATACTACAAAATAATGATTATAATAACAATCTTTTCGAAACTTGAGTATCTCCAGGAAACATTAGACTAGACTTTCACCTCTAGTCAGATACAGAAGGTTGTGTAACAAAATGTAGGCCAAATCCTGAAGCTTTTACTCACTCAAAACTCTTTAACTTCCCTAGGAATTTAATCTGAATAAGAACTGCAAGATTTGGCCCTATATTTGTTTATGTTAAGAAAATGTAACAGTGGATTGTTGAGATGAAAAGTAAAGCCAAGGAAGCACTGTCCCTTTGGAGACAGTTGCATTCACTTAGTGACAGAGCAGCTGCAGAACAGAGGCAGAGAAAGTGGCAGTGAAAGCTTTACCACAGTGTCCTGCTAGTCTGCCTTATCCCTGATCTGGAGAGGGTGAGAGGATAGTTCACTCTTCAGGTTCATTCAGCCTTTGATACCTTTGCTGACAGTGTCATCATGGATGCCAATTAGTGATATATTTATTTATTTAGTGATGTGGACACTGCATCACTGGCAAACAGGCTGAGACACTGTAGCTCAGACAGCAGCTTTTGGCCTGTGCTCAGTTCAAACTTATGACTTGTATGTGATGGGCTTCTAACCCCATTAATGAGTAGCTGAGCCATTCAGCCCCACCATCTCAAGAACCCTATGTATTAAAGGTTTTAGTAAATTTTTACCTTAAAGTGGGGGAAAATGACAATGCTGCTTTAGTGAGTTTAGCTAAGGTTCGTTTCTCTTACTGGTGGCTCAAATACAGTAATAGGCAGTATCTCAAAGGCTCACAAGAGATGACAGATTCCAAAAGTGTGTGTATTCGTTTGTGCCTTCAAAAGATACATTTGCCTTTGCAGGTACAATGTTATTGAAAGCTATGCAATACCTTCACATACTATATGATTAGGTGTGAAAAGGGAACAAAAGAAAATAGTTAATGCAAAACGTTTTGCTTTCTTTAGTGGATAATTAAAACATGATGCTCGTGTTACTTATGCCTATTTATTTTTAAATTGTGCTAGTTTGTAAAGTTCCTCTATTGAAATAGAAGCAGATTCCCTCCCCTCTTCCTTCAGACACACAGACAAACATTAATAAGTTGGTGAATGAAACAGATAATGTAATTGTTACCTCAAATCTATAGGTTTCTGATCAACAAATGCACACCAAAAATGCACAAAATTATGCTCTGGGCTATTGGTTTCTCCCCAGTATACACTGACACTTACTGATACGATATCAGAAATAGGCATTTATCAGTAAGTACTGCTTTACCCTGGCACCTAGGAGGCCAACAGTAGTTCTAATAATTGAGAGGGTCCACTGGATGGCTTTAAGGGAGCTTTAGCACAGCACCATATGTTTCCCTTTAATTATTTTTTAAAAATACAAGGCCATAGGACCAAACTGTTCCTTGTGTGATACAGCCTAACTGTTTGCCCTGATTCTTCCCCTTCCTGAAATATTGTGGATGACTCTTCTTTCTTTTATTGTTTCAGGTAATGGATCTTAAAGGCCAAATGATCTATATTTTTGAATCCAGTGCCATCTTGTTCTTGGGATCTCCCTGTGTGGACAGATTAGAAGATTTTACAGGACGTGGATTATACCTTTCTGATATTCCAATTCATAATGCACTGAGGGATGTTGTTTTGATAGGAGAACAAGCCAGAGCTCAAGATGGACTAAAGAAGAGATTAGGAAAGCTTAAAGCTACTCTTGAGATGGCCCACCAAGCTCTGGAAGAGGAGAAGAAGAAGACGGTAGATCTTTTGTGCTCAATTTTTCCTGGTGAGGTTGCTCAGCAGCTGTGGCAGGGACAAGTTGTGCAAGCCAAGAAATTTAATAATGTCACAATGCTTTTCTCTGACATTGTAGGATTCACTGCCATCTGTGCCCAGTGCTCACCTATGCAGGTTATCACCATGCTTAATGAGCTCTATACTCGCTTTGATTACCAGTGCGGAGAGCTAGATGTCTACAAGGTAGAGAATTTATTGCATTTCTATGGCAATCTTGGGGGTCGGAGGAGGAGTGGGGGGAAGGAAGGAAAGGGAGACTAAGCTGGTATAGAGAATAATAGGATTTGAAAAATTATTTTGACACAGACCTTAACTATAATAGTTTGACAGGTCACAAAATGAAACAGAGATTGTCTACAAAGTCAGTTGATTGTGCAATCATGTGGGAAATTTGCTTAAAGTTAGAGGCCTTAGGTTAAAATTCTGCTCTCAGGTACACTGGTGTGTATCTGGGGTAAGCATTTGATCAAAGCAGGTGTAAGAGTCCCACATCAGGGGAGGAAGTATTTTAGCATAATAAAAGCAATTGCCATCACCAGTGCAAGGCAGTCTTTGCAATTGCTCTTTGCAGGATTTGGTCCAATTATCTTTTAGGACTCAGTCTTTCCACAGATAAAACTCCAATTGAATCCAGTGGCAGTTTTGTCTGAGTAAGAACTGCAGGGCATGGCCTATTGAGAGCATTTAAAACCATGCCATATATTGTCTTCATCTCATACTGCATAGACAGTAAGAGACAAATGTATATGTTTAGGTGGAGACCATTGGAGATGCTTATTGCGTGGCTGGAGGTTTACACAAAGAAAGCGAGACACACGCTGTTCAAATAGCATTGATGGCACTGAAGATGATGGAGCTGTCAGATGAGGTGATGTCTCCCCATGGAGAGCCTATCAAGGTCAGGCAAATATATTAGAAACATATTCATGCATAGATATTTTTGCTGGGGTGGAAATGTTTATTATTTTGTCATCAATGAAATGTCACCTACGTAATTTTTAATAATTGTAACAAACAGGGAGAGTGTGGGAATGGTCTGACAAGAGGACCAGAGTTTTAATTTTTTTAGGGATTAGGGTTCTGTAAGGAAGGGAAAGATTAAACCAAAACTCTAAAAATCCACTAGGAGGACTGAAATTCTCTGAAATCATTCACAGAACATTACTGTTCTGTTGTTCAGTGTTTCTGTAGCAACAAAGTTGCCTTGGATGTGCAATATTCTGCTATGGTACTTTAATTAGGAGACTAAGCCCCTCTCTCTCAAATGAAATCCTTGAGAAAATTACATTTGGAAGGGTCTGTTTTGAGGCAGTGGGTGAATATGAATCACCAAAAGGACAACAATAATCCTTATTGCAAGAGTGTATAAAACATGACAGTTTTGTGTTAAACCATTAATATCAACTTGGGCAAAACTTCAGTCAGCTATGGTGGGGTTACAATACAGTAAGGCCCCAGTTTAACAAAGCATGTGCTTAATTTTAGGCATGGGTTTACATCTCATTAAAAAAATGGGACTAGTATGAACCAATTTACTCCTGTGCATGTTTGAATTAAAGGGAATGGTCAACTAAACATTTTATCTGTTTCATCAGGAGGTACTAAATATGGCACTAATTCAAAATACATATGTCAAGGGAAGTCTTTCTATTGAATTCAATGGTCTTTGGATTGGGTCCTTTTTTTATTAAGTCTATAGGCCTCTGAGACCCTAGTCATTATTTTTTTTTCTTTTTGAGTACATTTCCTTGGATCTTTATTCATGTGTTTTTAAATACATTCCCTCTTTTGGGGGTTAAAATAATTCTTGTGGCTCAGATAGAAGTCCAAGAAAATTTATTTTGAGATGGGTATGTTCTCCACATTTTATCAGCAAGAACATCACCCTTCTGTTATAAACAGGTCCCATTATTTATTATAAGTCACAACAAATTTAAAAAATATAAAATGTAATTAGAAAGATGCTGGAAACATTTTAACAATATTTAATGAAGAAGTTTACAATTTCCATCACAATTGCTGATGTCATAGTTTTGAAAGACAGATACTATTAAATTTATAAAATTCATTTAAGATTTGCAGAAAATAATGTGTACTGCATAAGAAGTTACAAGCATCAAATGGACGCTTTTTATAAATGAAAGTGATGCTTCCTCCATTTTTGATCTCTTGATGGAAATATTGGCTGTTTTGTGCACTGTGTCTCAGCTTTGTTATTCTATTTTTTTAAATAAATTTTCTGAAAAAAAGATGCCTGACTGCAAATTTCTTATTTTAAGCTAGACTGCTATATTAGTGTCCATACCTCAGACATCTGTGGGCTCTGCTGTATGGTGGATGTTGTTTTTGTTTCAGGGTGCTCTGATATTCTATTTAAAACTATACAGAACATCAGTTCAGCTCTTGTTAAAGGTGTGGAATTGAGAGTTGTAGAGATGCAAAAGAATGGGTATAGCACAAGTAGTAGCAGTGCAAGCTTCTCCAGTGTTCCACCACTGAGCCAAAACACTGTTCTGGAGAGACCCTCTCTAAGTGTGAGAGAATAGTTCACATAAGAAGTCCTTTAAAGGGAGAACAAATAAAACAGAAGGAACACAAAAAACAATATCAAATAAGCAAACTATGCAAACCCTAATACTAATTACAGAAAGAGACTCCTGCATACTCCAACCGACCTATGCATGTTTGCTCAATTACTCAATTCCCATACCTTAGAACCAGGCTTTATTCTAGGTATGCCCACTTCTACCACTGGAACTATGGTGTATGTGTCATAATTTTCCTTCTTTAGAGCTCAGACTCTGACCTTAAGACAAAACCCAATGCTTCTTACATTTATTTAACCATGTCACCAGCCCATCTTTCCCCTTCCCTCTAAATACCCAGGAAGGTAAACTGAGAGTTATTGTGTCTCCTGATGTAATTTCTAGATCAATTTAGGGCTGTAGAGACCAACTTGATCACAGTTATGTAAGCAAATGAATGTCTGTTTAATATTTATGGGCAGTAAAATTAAGCAGTTTAGTCTCTCCCTGAGCAGGTTTACTTCCCGCTAATGAAAATGAAATACGTGCATCTAAAGGAGATGACCCCCACCTCATGATCATTCTAATTAAGGAGGAACCAATAAAATGAACTGATAAAATGAATAAACCAATAAAATGAACTGATTTCAACATTATTTTAGCTAACAAATATTGTTTTATATATTTTATTTAAAGATGCGTATTGGCCTCCATTCTGGGTCCGTCTTTGCTGGAGTTGTTGGGGTTAAAATGCCACGTTATTGTCTCTTTGGAAACAATGTAACCCTTGCCAACAAGTTTGAGTCTTGCAGTATACCTAGGAAAATAAATGTCAGTCCAACAACTTACAGGTACAGTAATTTACAGCGTATAGTTACCAAAAAAAAAAAAAAAAAAAATTAAAACTAGTGATTGTTTCTTTAGTACTTTCACAATTGTTTCCTTCATTTTCTTTTCAAAATATTGTTTGCTTTCCTATTTTATCCATTGACCTTACTGCTCATGATTGTACCTTGATTATTTTTAGTCAGGAGCTGGACAGCAGCAAGCAAAGTGTGGAATGAGGCTGAGTAGCTAATACATATTTTCTCCCCATCCTATTTAGAAAAATCTCGGTAACTGAAATACATTTTGCTACTAACCTTGAAGCTTTGTATCTTTTGCTTTTTCTTCATCTCCTGGTATCTGGTCTTCATTAAGCTAAATGATTTTCAATGGGAGCTAGGAACCTAACTCACTTAGGCACCTTTGAAAATAACAACCTAACTGAACAGTTGGTAGGCTCCTCCTTAAGAAAACATCTCTAGACATTGACAAGCTTGGCAACTATGACCAGATCTTGAATTTTCCTTGTTTAAAGAAGATAACTGAGAAGATTGTAGTGAAGCAAGTCCAGTGACATCTGATTTATACAAATTTTGTTGACCCCAGTTCAATCTAGTTTTAGACAGTATGAAACCCAGACTATTCAGTTCACCCTAATTAATGATCTTCTAGTGATGGACAAATATGAGGGGCCCATACTGATTCTTTTAGATCTGTCGGTAGTCCTTGATGCTGTTGACCACAAGGCATTGTTGACAGTTCTGTGGACACTGCTGGAGAGACACAGAGTTGCAGTTAAGTTGCTCTGCTGTTTTCTCACAGGGAGGGCCCAGAAGACAGGGTTAGGAGATTATTCAATCAGTCAGCTAGAGGGCTCTCCCTTGTGAGATACAGAAGGATCCTGTTCTGTCATGCTTCCTTTTGAATGTATATTTGAGGTCTCAAGAGGAAATAATGAGGTTTGTTTGAATTTGCTGATTATACACAGCTCTAAGTCTTTATTTCACATCCCCAGGTCGATATAATCTTCTGGGTTTTCCAGCATCTGGCCAAGATCACGGCTTGAATAAGAGTGGGCTGGTTGAAAAATGAATTCAGATAAAGTCTGAGGTGATGATGTTGGGTGGGGGAAGAAACCAGAGACAATGGGGAAGTGATATTTGTTCCTTCTATTAAGGAGGTACCCTGCCTTTTGTTCCTCTAGCTCACAGTGGAGGTCTATTAGATCCCTAGCTTCTTCAGAGTGTCAAGATAACTTTGGTGGCCAAGAATGCTTTTTTGTCTATATGCACATGGCAAAGAAGTTGGTGAGGATGTAGTCACATATCAGATGTAGTCCTCAACACCATTATTCATGTCTGTGACACTTCTAGATTGGATTATTGCAATATACTTTACTTAGGGTTACACCTGAAGACCACTTGGAAACTTTGCTTGCTTTCTTAGCAGTGTTTTGTACATAGACCATATTTTACTTGTGTTTCAGAGACTGTGCTGGCTTCCACTTCATTGCTGGGTTCAATTCAAGGTGCCAATTTTGATCTATAGAGTCCTTGTGAGTTGGACCCTAGGTATTCAAGTCCATCTCTTTTGTCATGTATTACCTGGCAGTTGAGATCAACTGGAATGTTTGAGCTGATAGTTCCTTGATTTATACTTCAAGGGGAAGTATGCAGTGTTGTTGTATCTGTGTTGGTCCCAGGATGTTAGAGAGCCAAAGTGGGTGAGGTAATATCTTTTATAGGATCAACTTCACAAGTTGGTCGAATAAACGATACTACCTCACCCACCAAGTCTCTCAACTTCATTGGGAAGGACATTCTCAATGCGGGGCGCTTGATTATGGAATTTGCTACCTCCCTTGGTGTGAAGGAGCCCAAATCTATGGACCTTCAATAAGACCTTCAGTCAGGCCTGTTGTGATGGCAGGGATTTGGCTGAGATGGAGAATTCCTTTCCCTATCAGTTCAGCACTATCGTAAGTTGATGATTGCATGTATTCTTGCAGCCTTTTAATAGTTCACGCACAAAGGTGTCTTAGAACTTCACATATGTAGTGTCAACAATCATCTCTAACGTGTAGAAGTAAACTTTTTGTTTGTAATTCAGATGCCAGAGGAGATGACTGGCTTTAGTGGAAGTTTGTGTAAAATAGTATAAAGGTTATATTTAATATTAGGTCTAAATATTTTACTTGACAAATCCTTCGGTATCTCATTGGTTGAAAGATGAATTCTGGTGCCAGGTTTATATAATAATTTGATTTATTATTTAATGCTAAATAGTCTCTTAAAATGTTAACAACAAATCTATCATGTACATTTAGAACAAGGGGAAATACAAACATGCCTTGTATGGACAAAAAAGGAGAGACTGTGTTCCTGTTTGAATATCTCATGTACCAGCATGTCAATCAATGAGCAAAGGTTATGCTAAATAAGCAAGACAATATATCCTCTTTTAAAATAACATATAGATACTGGAACAAATTCTGCTCCAATTTACAAGACATGTAAAAAGACGAATGTTGTCACTAGCAGTAGCAGTTAATGTTTGATTTCATATTTAATCAAGTCATTTTAATTGTCTCATAGGCTGCTAAAAGAATATCCAGATTTTGTGTTCACACCTCGCTCAAGAGAAGAACTTCCTCCAAACTTTCCCAGTGATATTCCTGGTATTTGTTACTTTCTGGATGCTTATCTTCAAGGAACAAATTCAAAGCCTTGGTTTCAAAAGAGAGATTTTGAAGATGGTAATGCAAATTTCTTGGGCAAGGCAACAGGGGTAGACTAAATTGTACATTCACACATTTACAAAAGAATTTTATAAATATTTTAATTTTGTATAAATTGAGAGTTTAAAAAAGTATGAAACATGAAAGCACTTTAGATTGTTAATACCTGAAAGCCAGTATTAAAATTTCAGGAAGTATGTCAGACACTACTTTTTATTTTTACTTGCCAGACGATATATAGTCACTAAAATAATATTTCAACTTCACTATTTAAAACACTGTTTAAGAGTACTTTTTTTCCCTGTGGTAATCTGTGCTACATAACGACCATTTCAACTCTACCTGTACTGAAAATTCTAAACATGTTGTACATACAGTATATCAAAAAATGTTGTGTACAAGTGATGCAGTCATATGCAGTTTGGTGTGCTGGTGCATACCAGTGACTATTAAAATGCAGTTTTCTTAGTTGCTCTGTAAGAAAAAGGAAACACCCATTACTGTAATAACTCCTTCCATTGCATCTTTGGGCCTGTGAGGTGCTGCCCATCTCCTAGTGGGAGCTGAAGTCAACAGTAATTGAAGGCACTCAGCACCTTGATGGATCAGGTTGCTAATTATAACTAATACAGTATATACAGCAGAGTATGGATGCTTACTGTTCCCTGAATTTGTTTTCTTTGTGCATAAAATAAATATTTATAGAATATTCAAATATTGTATAATCACACACTAAAGCCTCTGTAATCAAATAAGATTTTAGTTTTTGGAGTTTTTAAACCCTATTTTAAAAATTATTTCCCTCTGATACTATGTATCATAGCAATAAATGTTTTCTTTTTGTTGTCATTTCATTTGTAACTCTTCTGAAGGAAGTAATAGTACATAATGTAGAGTGTTTACATAGAAAGGAAATTCCAAGCGGACTGTATAGTGTGTAGGACACAAACATATTACTTTGAACATATGATCTTATACTTCAGCTAGAAATAATGTAGAGGTGCTATGGACTCTGAAATATGTACGGTTCACTCACTTTAACATTTGTCACTGAGAGCTAAAGGTGAAGACAAATGCTTTAAAATATGAGTACACATCTGCAGTACACATCTAATACATACGTTTTACAAGAAAACAGAGGTTTCTTTAGCTATTGAGACTTGACTTCAGGATTCCATTTCTACTTCAAGTTAATAACCTTGCACAGTCACTCTCCTGAGACACACAACTTGGCCCCTATAGCAGATTGGGACTGGCATACCTTGCACTGATTTCGGCCTGGTCTACACTGTGGGGGGAGGGTATCGATCTAAGTTATGCAACTTCAGCTACGTAGCTGAAGTCTACGTATTTAGATCTACTCACCACGGTGTCTTCACTGCGGTGAGTTGACTGCTGCCACTCCCCCGTCGACTCTGCCTGCACCTCTCATGGCGGTGGAGTACAGGAGTCGACAGAAGAGCGTTCGGGGGTTGATTTATCGCGTCTAGACGACGCGATAAATCAACCCCCACTGGATCGATCATTGCCCGCCGATCAGTTGGGTAGTATAGACATACCCTTAGGATATTTGTGATAACATCAGTTCCTTGCAAGAGAGACACTGATATCTGAACTCTTAAACATTCTTTTGTATTTATGTACTAATTTAAAAAGCATTTCTGTTGTCCTCTAGGGCTGATCCAACAGAAAATATCAGTGGGCTTCTAGTCTGCCCAGGTACTAGAAATCCTGCCCCAGAAAACAACTTGGTTAATCACTGCAGAGCTATCCAGGATGTTGACAGATATCATAAAGTGACTTCTTTACTGTCCAACTCCCCTTCTGATTTTTGGAAAAGAGTTGTGTGTGGGTATTTCTGGGACCATATGTGTATGCTAAGTGACACCACTAAGATTCTGCACCTGTATAGTCCTGCTGGTTTTAAAAGTGATACCAAGGACGTATCCACATGTAGGGGGGAGAGGAAGGTTAATCCACAGCTTTTTGAGTTAATCTGCTTTGAAAACACTTGCGTATACATGATGCAGTTCATTTTTAGCGCACTGACTCTACATTTATTGCAAACTCTGGAGTGCTCATTCAAAGTGAACTATTTTTGCTGCGAAGCAAGTTAGTCCACGTTATTGTTCATGTGCACGCAATGCTGCTGCAAACTACTTCCACAGTCTGCAAAGGCTATCCCACACTCTTCTGTGGGTGACCATTACTGATCTCTTTAAGACTAACAGATGTATTGGAGCATAAGCTTTCGTGGGTGAATGCCCACTTCGTTGGATGCATGTAATGGAAATTTCCAGGGGCAGGTATATAGTTTATACCTGCCCCTGGAAATTTCCATTACATGCATCCAACGAAGTGGGCATTCACCCACGAAAGCTTATGCTCCAATACATCTGTTAGTCTTAAAGGTGCCACAGGACTCTCTGTTGCTTTTTACAGATCCAGACTAACACGGCTACCCCTCTGATACATTACTGATCTGTCTGTTTACCTTTGTGCCCTCCCCTGGTCTGGGGTCAAGTTGACCAGATGTCCCCGCCCTCATTTATAAACTGGCACACAGCCAGATTTTGTCCATTCACCCCTGGATTCCAGTTTACTACCAAAGACCTACAACGTGCCTCAAGCAGCTTCACCAATATCCTGTCTCATCGCCATCTGGGGAGGTGTCAGTGCAGGGAGCTCTTGTGGCAGCCACTGGAATAAAGACCGTTTTGTGGCCATTGCTAGGCAGATGTCCATGAGGGACCATGACCAGAATGCGGAACAGTGCTGGATAAAGAGCAAACCACTCCGGAGCACCTCCATTGAAATGACGGAGAACTGAGAAACTCCAGCGGAGGACATGTAACCTGTCCATTTTTGAGGAACTGGACAGGATTTTATATAACTACAAGACCACCCAACCTAGGCAGCTTATGGAGTCTGCTGGCTGCCTTACCTCCCTCCCCCCCAGGATGACCAGCAAGACTCATCGAGGAATGAACATGAGGAGGCCAATGAAGAGATCTCCCCAGAAAGCCAGGATCTGTGCAGGACTCAGGACCCTGATGATGGCCAAGTAGAATTGAGCTCAGTTTCTGCTCTGTAGCAACCATTCCTGATTGCCAGGCAGTAACCCAGATCAGGACTGAGGGGGCTGATCCTATGGAGGGAACCTCAGCATGTAAGTTTTTTATTATTTTAAAAAAATAATTTATTATTTACATTTGCATTTATTATTATGCTATCCTGCCATGCTATCTTCTGTTCTGGGTGTGCCATGGCCACAGCCATTGTAGGCAGACATGAGCTAGAAGCTTTTCTGAATCTGAGGTCCTGCTTCCCTCCCTCTGCCCACACTGCCCATTCACTGCCCCCCACCCCCACCTCGTACATCTTTCCAAAATGGCAGCTGCTCTGGGGGCAATTAGCCTGTGTCTCATCCTAATGTCCTGGCTACCGACTGTTTTCAGAAGGCACATATACTATGCCCCCTATTTTCCTTTCCCTTTCCTTTAGCTGTCCTGCCTGGAGAATGCTGCTCCCACTTCCCAACCCTGTTAGCCACTTCCAGAAGCAGGGCAGGCAGCATGGTGCAGCCTTCATGTAAGGAAAACATTCTTTGTGTGAAATGCAAAAGTTTATTGAGACAGTGGTTACAGGAAGAGAAGTTTGGTTCATGGTCTCACTTTTCATGAGATAGACATGAGCACTGCATGCCCATAAAGCCACAAAGAATGGCTACCCAGTAAATGCCCTGAAATACTCATTTTTACTGATGTGTAACAGTTCCTGAAGCATTCAGTCATTGCAGAAACCTATCTATTTTTCTTTATACTTTCAACTTGTCTGCAGGGGAGATAGAGCAAAAATCTCAAGCTGAGAAGTTGCTCAGTTTTTGTTCAGAGATTGAGAAATAATTACACGACCATTCCTACTAGCATAGCTTGTGACTCCCTTCCACTCCTGTAATACTTCTGGGGGGAGCATCTTGGTGAATAACTTCACTGTGTATCTCCCTGATCTACCCTTTGCCTTTTGAATAAGGCCATTATTTGACTCTTAGTCACCTAGTATTAAAAAAAATGCTATCACAGCCTCCCTAGAACATGAACAATAATCATTTGGCATTTTTTAATACCCTCACAGCACTGGCCAGACCCTCGAAAGACAGGCCTCTGTGAGGGGGGCCTGCTCCCCACAGATGCTGCCTAGTGGCTAGGCAAGGGCGTGACAGGACCTCTTCTGTCTTTGTGCCTCCTGTTGACAGCTGCTCTGGCCATGCTGCAATCTCTCCCTTTCTGGGCCATAAGTTGTGTCCAACCCTTCTGGGGTATGTAAAGAGTCCAACAAATGCTAGTTCTGCTGCCCAGCAAGGGGCTTAGGGCTTCACCCAGTGAAAGTCCCAAAGTTGGGACTCTCAAGATATGGGCTCTTCCTAGTCCCAAGTCTCTAGTATCAGAGATAGTCTTTTTGCCTCCAGCCCCATGACGGGTTCAGTAGATGAACCCAGATGCACCCTTTCCACCAGCTTCCAATCCAGGACCCAAAGGTAGGCAGTTGAGTCCTATGCCCTGGAATGCTATGTGGTTGCCACCCTGGTAACTTCCTACCAGCCTAGCCACACAAGAGGGAACAGCAGAGACATGTAAGTAAAATAAAGAAGAAGTCTCCAACCTTTCACACATCCAGCACCCTTTGCCCTCAGCAGGTCAGGCAGGCCATCTCTAGTCAGTGGGTCTGGCAGCTGAGCCTCCCACAGTGCAAGTCTGCTAACCTCTGCTGGCTGCCTGCAAGTGAGCTACTCTGCTACCATTTAAAGCTCCTCTTCCAGCCTGTGCATGCATTGCAGGTGTGGCAGGGCAGAGCTGCCTGGGCCCAGAGTGGCGTTTGTATACCCCATCCCAGGCCCTTATCAATGGCTGAACAGCCGGCAAACGTGAGGGGGAGCAAATGGAAAACTTGTGATGAAATGTTTGCGGCCATCACTACAGAAAGAACAAATAGAAAAATGTAGAGAGGTGGAGCCAGTATCTGAGGATTGAGAGAGGGAATCTGATAAGGAGCTTTCCACAGAGATCATTGCAGCGGCAAAGGACAGCATGGCAGATGCTAGGGAAAATGTTGCCATGGCCAGAGACAGTATGGAAAAAGGGAGATGCAAAGGCGACTCCTGGAGGCCATATAAAGCCGAAATGCCCTGTTGCAGCACATGTTGCTGTTAGGGCGGCAGGCAATGCAAGACTGCAAACCTACACGCAGCCATGCTATGCAACCCTTGGACAATACAGGCTGCTGGAAACAACAGCATCTCCTCCTCGCTGTACCCCCGCAGCACTGCTCCTAGAGGCAATTCCCCTCACAGATCAGGGCAGCGAGAACAGTGGCACCTAGGATCCAAGCTCTTTTGAGCCCTCTGTCACCCTTGGTAAATTCAAGTCTCTGCACTCCATGCCAGAAGGCCATAAACCAATAGAGGTATACTTGCCTGTTATTTTAAGCCCTCCTGCATCTTGTGTTGTGCCTTGTACTGTACTGTTGCACTTTGCTGTTTTGTTTCACTGCTAGTGTAATTAAAAGGTTCTTCATTGTTTTGTTTTGTTTCTTAATTAAAAACTGTTTTTTCATTTTCATGTCAGTTGATGGTTTGTCACATAATAGTTTAATAATAAAAACCTTTAAAATTGCATTCATAAAGAGTCGACAGTTCATTTTACACAGAAAATAATTAAATTTGCACTATTTCATAAGGTTTTACAAACATGGGTAGGCAAAGAGACAAAGTACAATAGGGATCGCTGCAACATTGC